GGATTTGTGAAGGACTGGCCTAGTATGGGCCAGCAGGCCTACTGCAGTGTTCCTCCTTTCTTATGTTCTTATTGAAGACTTGTTTGTGTGAGGGAGGGATGGCAAGTTTATTGTTGGAGAATATGACACTAATATCAACTCTACGGTTTATTGATCTATCACAATTCAACTAATATGACATAATAAACAATATTAATAACATAGAAACATGGAATATACTCTAAAATGAATAAAGTAAGTCATTACATATGTCACGAGAGGTGTGTTGTGTTGTTGTTGGGTATATAAGGGCCACTGAGAGTAAGCCATCCATAATGATGGTGAAGCAGCAGCTGAGGCGGCGGTGTTTTCTGTAGCTCTATATAACTCCAACAACATTGGAGGAGTTGGTAGAATCACTGAATCACTAAAGAAGGCACACTCTACCACCATCACTACCACCTTCTACCACTATTACAACTGCAACCACCATTATTATCACCTTCTACCACTATTACAATTGCTACCACCATCACTACTACCTTCTACCACCATCACTACCACCCTCTACCACCATCAACCACTATCACAACTGCTTCCACTCTACCACCACCACTTTTGTATTTTTCTACAAACTTTTTCATAAATTATATGTGTTTCTCACATTCTTTACCAAAGGGCTGGCACTAGAAGCTTTCTTTGGAGCCATGGTAGCTTATTTAGCACTTGCAAGCACTAAAATCAATGGAATATTATGAAATATTTCATAGGAGCAAGTGAGGGGACCGTCATTCACTGGTAAACAATGGCACACTGGCTGGGAAGGCAGGCCAGGCGGCTCAGAGCGTGAATACACGTCCCGGACGAAGGACGATTAGAGAGTTAATGAACCATTTGCAAGCCAATGTTTAGATGAAATAACGGGAAGAGAGAGGTAAAGGTTTATAAACTAAAAGAGGAGGCAGTTAGGGTAAGATATAAACAGCTATTGGAGGATAGATGGGCTAATGAGAGCATAGGCAATGGGGTCGAAGAGGTATGGGGTAGGTTTAAAAATGTAGTGTTAGAGTGTTCAGCAGAAGTTTGTGGTTACAGGAAAGTGGGTGCAGGAGGGAAGAGGAGCGATTGGTGGAATGATGATGTAAAGAGAGTAGTAAGGAGAAAAAGTTAGCATATGAGAAATTTTTTACAAAGTAGAAGTGATGCAAGGAGGGAAGAGTATATGGAGAAAAAGAGAGAAGTTAAGAGAGTGGTGAAGCAATGTAAAAAGAGAGCAAATGAGAGAGTGGGGGAGATGTTATCAACAAATTTTGTTGAAAATAAGAAAAAGTTTTGGAGTGAGATTAACAAGTTAAGAAAGCCTAGAGAACAAATGGATTTGTCTGTTAAAAATAGGAGAGGAGAGTTATTAAATGGAGAGTTAGAGGTATTGGAAGATGGAAGGAATATTTTGAGGAATTGTTAAATGTTGATGAAGATAGGGAAGCTGTGATTTCGTGTATAGGGCAAGGAGGAATAACATCTTGTAGGAGGGAGGAAGAGCCAGTTGTGAGTGTGGGGGAAGTTCGTGAGGCAGTAGGTAAAATGAAAGGGGGTAAGGCAGCCGGGATTGATGGGATAAAGATAGAAATGTTAAAAGCAGGTGGGGATGTAGTTTTGGAGTGGTTGGTGCAATTATTTAATAAATGTATGGAAGAGGGTAAGGTACCTAGGGATTGGCAGAGAGCATGCATAGTTCCTTTGTATAAAGGCAAAGGGGATAAAAGAGAGTGCAAAAATTATAGGGGGATAAGTCTGTTGAGTGTACCTGGGAAAGTGTATGGTAGAGTTATAATTGAAAGAATTAAGAGTAAGACGGAGAATAGGATAGCAGATGAACAAGGAGGCTTTAGGAAAGGTAGGGGGTGTGTGGACCAGGTGTTTACAGTGAAACATATAAGTGAACAGTATTTAGATAAGGCTAAAGAGGTCTTTGTGGCATTTATGGATTTGGAAAAGGCGTATGACAGGGTGGATAGGGGGGCAATGTGGCAGATGTTGCAAGTGTATGGTGTAGGAGGTAGGTTACTGAAAGCAGTGAAGAGTTTTTACGAGGATAGTGAGGCTCAAGTTAGAGTATGTAGGAAAGAGGGAAATTTTTTCCAGTAAAAGTAGGCCTAGACAAGGGTGTTGTGATGTCACCCTGGTTGTTTAATATATTTTTAGATGGGGTTGTAAGAGAAGTAAATGCGAGGGTCTTGGGAAGAGGCGTGGAGTTAAAAGATAAAGAATCACACACAAAGTGGGAGTTGTCACAGCTGCTCTTTTCTGAGACACTGTGCTCTTGGGGGATTCTGAAGAGAAGTTGCAGAGATTGGTGGATGAATTTGGTAGGGTGTGCAAAAGAAGAAAATTAAAGGTGAATACAGGAAAGAGTAAGGTTATGAGGTAAAAAAAGATTAGGTGATGAAAGATTGAAAAATCAGATTGGAGGGAGAGAGTTGGAGAGGTGAACGTATTTAGATATTTGGGAGTGGACGTGTCAGGGATGGGTCTATGAAAGATGAGGTGAATCATAGAATTATGAGGGAAAAAGAGTGAGTGGGGGCACTTAGGAGTCTGTAGGACAAAGAACTTTGTCCTTGGAGGCAAAAGAGGGGAATGTATGAGGTTATAGTTTTTTTCCAACGCTCTTATATGGGTGTGAAAGCGTGGGTGATGAATGTTGCAGCGAGGAGAAGGCTGGAGGCAGTGGAGATGTCATGTCTGAGGGCAATGTGGTGGTGTGAAAATAATGCAGAGAATTCGTAGTTTGGAAGTTAGAGGAGGTGCGGGATTCCAAAACTGTTGTCCAGAGGGCTGAGGAAGGGTTGTTGAGGTGGTTCGGACATGTAGAGAGAATGGAGGGGAAAAAAGAATTTACTTTAAGAGTGTATCAGTCTGTGTGGAAGGGAAAGGGGGGGTAGGGGTCGGCCTGGAAGGGTTGGAGGGAGGGGGTAAAGGAGGTTTTGTGTGCGAGGGGCTTGGACTTCCAGCAGGGATGCGTGAGCGTGTTTGATAGGAGTTTTAATGGAGACAAATGGTTTTTAATACTTGACGTGCTGTTGGAGTGTGAGCAAAGTAACATTTATGAAGGGATTCAGGGAAACCGGCAGGCCGGACTTGAGTCCTGGAGATGGGAAGTACAGTGCCTGCACTCTGAAGGAGGGGTGTTAATGTTGCAGTTTAAAAACTGTAGTGTAAAGCACCCTTCTGGCAAGACAGTGATGGAGTGAATGATGGTGAAAGTTTTTCTTTTTCGGGCCACCCTGCCTTGGTGGGAATCGGCCGGTGTGATAATAAAATAAAAATTTCTGAAATGGACGACTTTCAGGCCGGACGATTATTGAGGGACCACTGTACTATGTAATGTGTTTTTTTGGGTCTATGGGTGCTTATTTTGCAGTTGCACTCAATCAATAACCACAAAAAAAATGGATTATAGCAAAATGTTTGGATGAATGAGCAGAAGCTTCCTCACTCGCCCAGAGTCAAAGCCAAACTGACTCGCAAGCGACCCCAGCCGGCGGATGGACGCCTCCCAAATGGCCGATAACCGAATTAATGGCCGATAACCAGGCGCAAAAAACCGGCCGATAACCGAGTTGGCCGATAACTGAACCAGCCGATAACCAGGGTTCCACTGTACTAGGAATAAGGTAAAACGATTTTATATTTACACTTGTAGTATTAGCTAAAAAAAACAAATCATTCTCCTTCCTCTTTGTGGCTGCATTCATTAGGCACCTTTTTGGCTCTCTTCTTGAACTGGCTTTGACATGTGCAGGAGTCATTCCATTCCTTTATACATAAATAACCCACACATAGAAGAGAGGAGCTTACGATGTTGTTTTGGTCCGACTTGGACCATTTACAAAGTCACACTTGTGTATTGCTCCAGTCACAGTATTGTGCCTCTTTTGACATTCCTTTACCGTTGTACAATAAAAGGTGTTTGAAACCTGGCCACTGAGTGTGGGTACTACAAAGCTGTGCTTTCTCCCCCTAGTACAGGTCTCCCTCAACATTCATGAAGGTTAGAGAGAATCAAGAGCCACGCAAATGTTGAAAATTCACGAATGTTTGGTGCCCCCATATATTGTAGGGAAATATAATACAATACTGTCGCAAGCCCCAATCCTGAAGTGTCTCCTGGTGTCGCAAAATATTCCCCCCCCCCCAAAAAAAAAAAAATTATTTTTTCTTATGAAAATGTTAAGATTATTTTTCTGATTGTTTTAGTCCCCCCCAAAAAAAATTTTTGCCATCAGTACTTACAGAGATATAGAGGCGTGAAGTTTGCAGAAAATGAGCCACGTATGGCAACAGCGGCGACTGCCGCTCACCCAGTAAACTTTGGTTTATTGTACTCGAAGGTTTCTTGTTTTTTTCACTATTTTACTTTTTCACATAACTTTTGTGGCCTGTGAGACCAAAGTATGGTGCAATGTTCATATATACACTCGTTGAATGTAACACAATTATAGCAAAAACACTAGTATCATCATAATGTTTACAAAACTTGTTTACACAAACAAATATAAAAAATTGTTTATTATGATTGTTCTATAATATATATACATATGTACAATCACTGGACACTTTTCTAGAACTGCTGCAGCTTGTGGAATTCTTTGAAACATGGGCGTAAGCACAATGGTATTTTACACTCCTCACACATAAAACGAGTGTCTCTGCATTTTTGTGGGTGTTTTGTGGTATATCCACAGACAAAATACCTCTTCTGAGCATTTTTCTTGAGAACGGTAGCAGGCAGTGGTATGGGGTAGTGATCACCAGGCCTCAGACGAGAGGGCATGTGTTTATAATTTCATGGGCGCTGGTCTACGGCAAGTGTTTTTCCTTGGTACTTGAACAGTATTTGTCTGATGACCGACAAACAAAATTCACCATATTTGGGTTTGTTGTTGGTCTTCAACTCATACATATTATAAGCATTCAGCATGGAAATGTCAAGAAGATGGAAAAAGACTTTTATGTACCACTCTTGCGAATACTATCAGCAAATCCAATCTGCATGTCACATTTGTCCACTAACTGCACATCGAAGTTGTAATCCATCACAGCTGCAGGTTTTACAATGGGTTCATTGGCCTCTCTATTCTGTGTTCCACTGTCTACCATTTCGTGTTGGTGAACTGATGTCAACAATGTGACATAACGTTTGTCATGCCACCGAAATGTCATGAAGTCATTGGCAGCAAACACCTGAACATCACCTCTACGAGTGCCAGCGTTGAACCTAGGCATATGCTTACTATTTCCACACACTGTGTCACACACATCTGTCATGTTCACTTGCAAGAAATCACTGAGTAAAGGGCTTGTGCACCAGTTGTCAGTATATAAAATATGCCCCTTACCAAAATATAGTTCCATCATTGTTCTAACCACATCACCAGAGATACCCAGTAACTTCCTGGTATCTTCCAATGTTTTACTGCCAGTGTACACAATTATATCCAAAACCAGACCACTTTTGCAATCACACAGTACAAATAACTTTATACCAAAGCGTTTCCTCTTGCTTGGCACGTACTGCTTGAATGAGTCTTCCTTTGAACAAAATCGAAGATTCATCAATAACAAGCTTCCTGAAGGGATAAAAATACATACAGCACTTTTGTTTCAGGTACATAAACACATTTCTGATCTTATATAACCTGTCGCTTCTGTCACGTCTTGTTTTGTCTGAAAAGTGTAGCATACGTAACAGTAGCACAAATCTATTCACTTTATATGTCACTGAAAGCTGGGGTTGAAATCAGATGGTCTGTCGACCAGTATGTGTTGACACTGTGCTTATACACATGTGGCATAAGCATTATTGTGGCAAAGAACAGATACATCTCTGCCACAGTTGTGTCCTTCCACTTGTGTAGGCGTGATCTTGGTGAAAGAACTGTGTTTGCCATGGTGTACTCAAAGTATGTATTGCTTTCCCTGACAATAATGTCCATCAGGGGTTCAGTGGCATTGTTCCCAAGTGTACAAGTTGGCCATATTCCACTTTGTGTTTCATGAAAGTCATGGTGACTGGGAACAAACTCGTCACCTTGCTGCCAACCCCAGATGCCGTCAGCTGGTGGGTTCTGGATACTGAAACATGGTTGTGCAGGTTGTGGTTGTTGTGGGAGTGTGGGGCTGGGTGAGGCTGGTTGTGGTTGTGGCGAGTCAGCAGCGGTGGTAGTAGCATGGCCCGCTGCTGGTGCCACATGACTCATGCCACCATCATTATCACCACCACCACCTGCTGCCTCACTCACATCGTTCATACCCATCGTAACAATATCATCCTCTTCACTATCAGTTTGTGGTGTAGGGCCACGGGATGTGCTCTGAGATTTACTCCTTCCCCTTGGAACAGCATATGACACACTACCAGACCGCATGCTACGTCGTATATACTGCCACTTCACTGGGGAATATTCACCCTCACTGTCACAACTAGAACTGCTTTCAATAGCTTTGAAATCACTATCACTTTCACTGCTCACATTTGAGTCTTGTACACGGGCAAATAGTTTCCTCTTTCATCCTGGTACAGGTGAACATGAATGAACCGGCCCAGCACCAGAGGTGGAAGGTCGTGGGTCATCTGGGTTTTCACCACTAATTACATTATCCTGGGCACTGTTTTCGGTCACACCCGCTTGAAAACTGTAGAATTCACTTTCACTAACACTTCCATCACTGTTAGAGCTATCACTTGGAAACAAAAGACCTCCAATCTGCCGAGGGGTGAGGTACTTCTTACTGCGAGGCATGGTGAAAATGGACTACCAAGATTGCATTCCCACAATGCACCACTGAGTCCCAGATTTTTTTCACAGGATGCACACCCACCACTCAGACCCATTCTCTCTCATGCAGGCCTACCTGCTTGATTTGAAGCCACTAGAATTTATGCGTATAGATACATCAAACACGGTGGCTCATAAGACGTATATATACAACTGAAACAGTCAAGGGGTTAACTTATTGAACCATAAACAATCATAAAACACATGAAAACATCATAAAATATTGTACTATATAGTACTACATACATATTATGTATAGTTTAATAACAAATAATGAACAAACAAAACACTCACCACTCATAATTCCGAAAAACTCTGATGACTTGTGATGATGATAGTTAGCCATGCAGTTACTGATGACAGCTGGATGGAGGTGATTATATGGAGTGTAACTGCATGGCATGATGAGTCTAGTGTGTGGATTCTAACTCTTCACTGCCAGCATCACTGCCAACATCGCCTGAGTCAGAGTTAGCAACAGAGTCAGATTCTGCCACGGGTTGAAGTTTAGGTGAGGCAGCAGGGGTAGTTGCAGGGGTAGCAGCAGGGGTAGTTGCAGGGGTAGCAGCAGGGGAAGCAGCAGGCTTCCTTGTAAAGAACATTGTGATGGGCAACTGAGACCATTTCCTCTTCATATCTACAGAGTTTTGTAGGGAATTATGCTGCTATCAATGTCATTCATCACCTTCAAAGCCCTCACCATCGATGGGTCTACATCATACATAAATTGTTTGAGTTGTGCCGTCATTCTCATCACTTGCCCAAGTTTTTCAAGGGTGAGAGCTTGAGGTTGATTGGCTTCAGTAACACTCCTCTTCTTCATCCTCATTCTCTGCCTGTACAATCTCCAATAACTCTTCATCATTTAGGCCCTGTGCATGCTCTTCAACCAGTTCTCTCACCTCACCCTCCTGCATGTTCTCGAACCCTTCACCACCGACTAGCCTTGTTAACTCCACAGTTTTCCTCACGGCTTTGTTAACTTCATCCTGAGGACCAAATCCAACAAAATCACACACACACACTGGCCACAAAGCTTTCCAACAACCCATCACCATCTGAGGTTGCAAATCCTTGACACTATCATGCACTATTGAGAGGCAGACAGCAATAGTGAATTTCTTCCAGTATTGAGTGACACTCATATCTGGATCTGCATCCAACACAGTGTGGAGCCTTTGCATTGACCTTCATGTGTAGTAGGCTTTAAATGTAGCTATCACACCCTTGACCTTCATGTGTAGTAGGCTTTAAATGTAGCTATCATACCCTGATCAAGAGGTTGTATCAGGGAGGTTGTATTTGGCAGAATGAACACAACCTCAACATTGTTACACATTCCCTCCAGTGATGGTGGGTTACCTGGAGCATTATCATTTTGTTTGGGAGGCCTTTCTCTTGTAGATACGCCCGTACCTCCGTCAGGAAGCAGTGGTGAAACCAGTCCATACAGATGACGTTGGTGGTCCATGCTTTCAGATTGTGCATCTAGAATACTGGAAGGAGATTCTTGTTGCATCCTTCAGTGCTCTGGCTTTATCATGTGCCCAGCAGCGTTAGCACATAGCATCAATGTGCATCGGTCTTTCGCAGCCTTAGCCCTGGCACAATCTTCTCCTTGGTGATGAAGGTCCTGGTAGGCATCTTCTTCCAATACAGGGCTGTTTCATCCATATTCCACACCTGCTCAGGCATGTATCCCTTCTCATCGATTTTTTTTCAAAGCACCAGGGAATGCAGCTGCCGAAATGTGATCTGTCAAACTTGATTCTCCACTCATCTTCAGGTTCTACAGGGTAAACCATCTCTTAAATTTTTCAAACCATCCTTTACTTGCTAGGAAATCTGGATGGGTGGGTTCAGCACTGGTGTTAGCCTCATCACTAGCCAACATACCATACAAAGGCTTTCCCTTTACAAGAATTGCATTGTATTGCATTTCTCCTTTGTTCTGAAATCCACACAAATAATGCTGATTTCATCTTAGACATTGCACTGTTTCTTACATGAGATACTTGCTTGGCTGAGGGAGAAGCAGATGCTAGAGCCGCCCTTATCTTGGCCTCATTTTTCTTGATAGAGTGCACTGTGCTTTCGTTTACATTATATAATTTTCCAATGGCAGAACTGCTCATATTACCTGCCCTACACTTGTCTAGCAATTTCACCTCCTCCAGATTCATGACTTTCTTTGAGTGCTTAGGGGTTGGCTCATCAATAGCAGTTGCTTCTCACTTGAGGGCCATACTGTCACCACCACACAAACACAATAGGACACACAAACAACACAGACCGATGTGAAGAGTGGCTGGACAATGACTGAATGAGCGAGTGGCGGTCAGGCTGGCTGAGTGGGTTAAAAGGAGGGTAGTAGGGATGCGCAGGTGGTAGAAAACATAAATATGACTTGACAGCTGGGAATTTGCGAATGTTCGAAGCTCGCGAAAGTGGAAAACGCGAATGTTGAGGGAGACCCGTATGTACTATGATTGCTTCGGCTTCCAGCCTTGACAAAATTGGCAGCAAGATATTCTGGACAGTGTGAGCAATTTTATAAACTTGATATAACTTCGGTTGTTTTACTCTGTCTTCCAAATTCAGCATATACAATTGTTGCAATTCATCCTGGCCTACATGCTCTTTTGGATCCAGGTCCAGGATGAATCTTACCATTTTGTTCTAGGTGATTTGCAGTCTATCTTTCAGTTTTTTGTCAAGGCAGAGTACCATGAAGAGCAAGCATAGTCCATATGACATTGTATAAGGGCTAGACATAGTGTCCTGCGAGCCTCAGTAGGTAGACACTGTGCTTGTCTGTAGAGGAACTTCAGTCTGGCATTTGCTTTCTTTATTACACTGTTCCCTATCAAAGAGTCAAAAGGGATTCCCAGATATTTTACTGAGGAAACTGAAGTGATGGGTTCCCCATTACACCTGACATTAAAATTATTTACACTTCTTAGTTTATGTCTTGTGCCAAAGTATGGCTTCTGTTTTCCCGAGGTGTAACGACAGTTTGTCTACTAACCATTTGCTGCAGGACTCCAGTTCCAGTGTTATTACATTAGCTATATCTTGTGGGTCTTTACCTGACATTAACAGAGCAATGTCGTTCGCATATAGTTGGAGTTTGCACTTGACACTGATGGGTATGTCGTTTACATAACAAAGGAATAATAAGGGACCCAGAATACTACCTTAGAAAACTCCACATGCTATCAGCAGGGGTTCCAATTCTGTTTTGTTGATTTTGACAATTTGTTTCCTGTTGCTAAGACAGGACTTAAGCCAGTCTACGGAACCTATGCTGACAGCTTGAAG